TTATTATTATTTCCATTTTTATTAATATTAATAACCATTCTTGAAAGAGTCTGTTACGCGGATTTATTTTTGTTTGAAAATAATATCAATAAATTTTGTTTGATGCAATTTTCTATCTCATCCAGCAATATATATATTAATATTATTATTATTAGATAAAATTTTATTATATTATGAAAATCTTCAAAAATAATTACCAATTAATAATCAGGATCTGTTCCACGAATTTGTTTAAAAAACAAATTTGAAGTTATGTAATTTAAAAAAATAAATATTTAAAGGTTGGAAATTAGAACTTAACTATTGCATTTATTATTATCATGTAAAAAAAATTAAGCCCAAAGATTGAAGTTGTGCATGTTATCCAATTTCTTAATTTATTATTATTATAAAACTTATAGAACTGGTAGTCCAACTTCACCCTGGCAAAAAAATACATCAATAAAAGGTTTTTTCATATATTTGTTATTTTTTATGATTCAAGTAACAATTTGATTAAATCAAGCAAGTTTGTGTATGAAAGCGTGATTTCTTTAAAAAAAATTTTATTAGTATTAGCGTGAATGACACTTCACCCCCTGTAGATCAGGTATCATTGTCAACTAGTCCTCATTTGTCACTTTATTTTATTTATTTTACTGGACAAAATCATGTAAAAAGTCATGTTACTGTTAAAGTAAGCCGTTGTGTAAATCAAGAAACTTCATACATCATTAGTCATGATAATATGGTAGAACTCTATCAATAAATAAAATTAAATAAATTTCACATTTCGTAACATGTGTAAATTATTAATATTAATTTTTTTAACAGTTAAAAAAGTTACATATCACGCGCAAATATCTGACAGTCCGTAAGAAAAATTAATCTTAATCAGTTTGAATTTCAAATTCCCTTCGGCTTTGGCTGAGTATAGACCAAGTAGCGATTGCATTTATGAGATTTATTGAGTAAACCCCCCTAAATGAATATTAATCATGGATAAAGTAAATTCCTTATAAATACGCATGCCTTGAGGAATTAATCAGTCTGAAAAACATACCCTTTCGTATTTCATACCGAGAAAACGATATTTTGTCTAATTCTGGCCAATAACACTCACAATGAAATATAGTATCTCCTACATCCTTACCATCTCCATAATTTTTTGCATAGTAGCTAACATAGCTGAAGGTAAAATTTCGAACATGGGTAGCAAAGATTTTATAATTATCTATGCTAATGACTTTACCGGTTTGCTTTGATGTAAATAATGTATAGCACTCCATACGAATGTAACTTCTACCATTGAAGCGGGAACGAGATGCCATAGTTATATAACTGATTGTAATGGTCATGTTTTAGTGGACGATGGAATGAAAGATTGCTCCACTGACTATGGATTTTGTAGAGTATCGAGTCATGATTTACCAGACGGCACGACATATTGTACTCACATGATAGTTCAGGGTCACATCGGGGGTAATAATCGATACATCGAAGCCAGTGACACTGCATGTTTTCATCTTCATGGCAATGTTTTTCATTGGACTTTTGATCAAATAGATTGTCATCATTATTGTTATCCTGACCCTAGTTTTTACGTAAGTCTAATCTATTAATTAATTGTAATTATTGTAAAAATGATTATTGTATTTATATATTTATATATTTAAAAGTGTCCGGACGATTGCTAAAAACAAAGGAAATTCAATCAAAACTTTGCTTGTTTATTTTATTATTATTTTTTATTTTGTTTTATTTATTCTTTGTCAAATTCAATTTGAATTTCCATCAGCAATTTAAAACTGACATGGATTTGAATTTAACAGCATCCTTAAAATAGTTTAATTAATTTCATCGACCGTTTCCATCTTTTCTACGTCACTTCCTTTGTCAGTGTAATTAAGCAATATTATTAGCAAAAAAATAATTAATAAATTAAGTTGATTAATTAGTTAACATTAACTATCATTACCACTAGTTTCAGAAATCACTTCAGGTACTGATCCAGGTTCAAAATCATGTTGTGTTTAGCAACATCACCCTATAGAAAATTTATGTACGGAAGTTCTTTACATTTTGTAATATTTATTTGTAAGGAATAATCCTTTACATATCAGTCGATTTGGTTTTCTGGGCCTTTTTTCAAACCTTATGTCTTATTGTGTCTTGATGTTAAACATGAGTATTTTTAATGTGTAAACTGGTCAGTAGAATGATAATTAACCCTAAAAAAAGTTTATTTGCTCTGCTAAAAAAACTATTTTACTATTCAACAGCCCATTAAACTAATGAATAGGTTTTTGCTAGTATAAAGTATTCATAACATTATGATCATACCATACCAAATTTTGGGGATCAAACAAAATCAATGCATATGGGTATCATCTTTCTAAAAACCATTTGGACATTGATGTTGATTTAGATATTGATTTTTTTTTTCATCTTTATTTATTATAAAAACTATTAATTCGGATCATATAAATAAGCTTATTATTATACTTTTGTATCACCTATATTTTCGTGTGAAAAAATTCATTTTTCCAATTCCTTTAAAAAAATAGAACTTTATATACCTGTTTGTATAAACTTTACAAAATGGCTTGTAGTCAAGGTGCTCCTATGACTTGTACTATATCAAAAAAAAGAATTAAAGCAGGAAGAAACTAAATGTTCAATACCCAAATTGTCACATGTTAGTTCTGGTAGAAGTAAGTAAACAGAGTTGTTCATATAAACAATAATGCTATTTTAATACTTTTAGTAAGATTGCATTTCTTTAGTAGAAAAAAAGTTAATCAAAACCAAAAAGTCACCAAGAATCCTAAATCAGAAGACCTAGTTTTGGTTAAAAAATTATTTTCTTCCTGCCAAATTTAGATATGATTGTCGAGATCAGTCTAAATTTAGCAATGATCCTAGCGCTCAAATTCTTCCGAGTACATGTTTTAAAAAAGAATAGAACTCTACAACAAATAATTTTTTTTTGAGAAAATCTCTCTATTACATTAAATTTAAAGACATATTATATCAACTAATAGAGCTATTTTTAAAAGGTGGGACAGAAAATGACTTCTATCTTTTTAAAATTCGCACAAAATTTAGGTCTTTTAGACCGAGCTAACTATATATACCATAATAATAAATATCCGACCATCCTACGTCGTGTAACGTCAAATGAAAAAAACTTACCAAAAAATGCAACATTTTCTTAAATAAAACCTTTTTACTTTACTAAGTAAACTTGTACTTGATATCGAAATCTCTAAATTACAAAACTGTGGCGTGCCAGGCATGACAAAAGTCTATTAATACACTATTTGACATTTAAAATTAGGGTGGTATTATTTTAAATGATTTAAAATTTATTTAAAATGAAAAATTTTTGAAAAAAATTTTACTTAAAATTCTGTTACATGCAAACCAGTGTCTAACATCCGGAAAATATAAAAAAATTTTACACGTGCCAATTGTAAGTTTAATAATAAAAAAGTGTAAAACTTACGTCGGCACTGTAAGATTTACACAATATTACGTCGGCATCATAAGATTTATGCAAGTTTACGCTAAATTAATTTCCTGATGAAAATCTATGTGCGGAACGCTCGCTCCGAGCATAATAATTTATTTGCGAACAGTATAATTTTAGAGATGTGGATCGACTGATCTCAATTTTTATAAATTTGTGGCTTAATGTGCGGAATTCAGTTAGATCTAAGGTTGCGGGAGAAACTCCTCCAGAAATCAATCGACAGAGTTTCGACAGGTTACACATTAATTGTTTATTAGAGTTTCGGCAGAGTTTCGCATTTGGGGTTTTTGCCAATCATCGGAGTTTCGACAGGTTACACATTAATTGTTCATTAGAGTTTCGACAGAGTTTCGACAGTCATTAAGAGGTTTCGCCCACAACCTTAGTTAGATCAAATAAAATATTAAATTATATATATTAATATATATTAATGCCAGTTCACAAATCCTTATGATTTTTTTTCTCGATATTTTTTTTTTGATCAAATATAAGATATATTTTTATTCACTCCATTCACATTAAAGCTTTTGAAAATATTCAAAAATAGATAATTTGTTATTTGTGAAAATAAAGAAAAAAGTAATGAAGGATCCAAACAGGTAGTAACTACATAAAAGCAACAAAATAAGGAAATAACCAGACAAGAATGAAATAAAGTATGTGAAGATTTTGATCCAAATTGGTTACGAGTATATCCTTTGCTTGAAAAAAGTGAAGACAGTAATAGAAAGGTGACAATGTTTTTCGAAAAGTATAAACAAAATTTATCAATTGTTTTATAATTTATTTATTACTTATGTAAAATTGCCCGCACATTAGTTGATAATAATATGTGGTCAGTACACATAATTTAGAGTTCAGATTTTAGACATTGATGCAAACCTCAACGAAACTGAACTGAATAAGGCGTAATGGGTATATGCAGGTTGAGTACTGTACACTTCGTGCAGTGAGTATAAAAAATTAGAGATTGGGTACAGTAAGTACCCAAAAAAGGCATTTAAGTACGATGGTACGAAGTGTACAGTACTCAATCTAACACAACGAAGCGTAACTTTTCCTAAAATGTGGTATCATGTGATCGGATATTTATGGTAGGTGAAAAAAAAAGTTGTATTTTTTCCTAAATCACACAAGAATTTTTTTTCATGTGGCTTGGTTTAAATTTTCAAAAAGTGTTCAAAAAAAATCATCATTACTCGTTGAGAAAATAATTATATCATAATGATATTACTATATTAATTAATTAAAAAAAAATTTGTAATAACAATTATTCAAATAGAATACTTTTTGCAAATAAATAATTTCTCTTTCTTTATCATTTCTTTCCACTAAAAAAACAATAAAATTATTAAAAATGAAATCGACCTTTTTCCTAAGTCTCATTTTATTATTATTATCGACTTCAACAATTATAATTAATGCTCAACAAAACTATACTACATGTGAAGGATATTTTTTCGTCCAGACTTGTACAACTTGTCAACAAACTCTTTACACTTACTTACCACCAAACTATGGCGAACCTCCAAACAAATGCGCAACAAAACTTATTATGAAAAAATACATTAGAAATGATGATGATGACGATGACGATGACTACGAAAGTGACGACGATAACCCAATTGATCCTTTTATATCACCAAATGAATTGATAAACTTTTGTACCGATTTAGAGACAAATGCGTGTGATCAGTACACCGCATTGCAAACTTATGGAAAAATTGATTTTGATTGTTCAAAAGAATTGGATAATATTTTTAATTATTTTAATGACAGTAATACTACACCATTAAATTTAACTGACGAAGATATTTCTACTGGAAAATTATCATTGCGTGCTATGAAAACTTATTATTTTGGCCTTCCGAAAAATTATTTTTATTGTACCAAAAATGAGGCTGGAGGTAATAATAATTACTTCATTTTTAAATAATTGATTTTATTATATATATAATTGATATATTATTTATTATTTTAGGATATTGTAAAGTAGATGAATATTATAAATACCAAAACAACACCAATACACATACATACAATCATCATCGCTACGGTAATAATAACAATAATCTAACAGAATTATGTGACTATTGTACAAACACAACTATTCAAAATATCGAACAATACTACATTACCAATCCACCAACAACCAGTCATCTTAAACAAATTGTTGGTGACGATTTCGAAAATGGTCCTGAGATTCCAAGTGATCGCTGCCCTCAAAACACATCTAATATTACTAGTTCTAGTAGTTCTAGTTATACTAGTGATGCTGGTATCAAACTCAAAAATTTTAAAGAGATTTATTTGAATTTTGGTATTTTGATGATTTTGGTTTTTACAGGAATTAATTTTTTGAATTAAATGATTTTCTTTTTAAAATTTTTTTTTTTTTGCAATTACGAAATATTATTACTATTATGTTATTCGATTATTGTATTAAATACATAGTCAAATATACATAGTGCTTCTGTAAAAGTTTCACAACGACTTATTTTCTTTACTTCATCACCTGCTGCTTCTTTCTCTTCTTGAATATCCCCTGATGTATCATTCGTATTATTGCTATTAAATAAAAATTCGTTATTAAAAAATTTTAAATTTTGACCAATGCTTCGTTGTTTTTGTTGTTGTTTATTAATATAATTTGGTGTTGCAAACGTTTCAAACGTTTCTTCTACTTCCGTTATGTCCTGTCTATTAAA